GCAGACTTGCCTTTGGAGAATGAGGCTTCAGTATTCCCAAATAGGCGGTTTTCAAACATTGCTTTTAAACTAATTTCACATCAATGTTTTTAAAGGTTGTCATATCAGTTAACTTTTTAAAATTAGCAAGGAATATTTTGTATGCACATAGTAATAGAAAGCTTATCTTGTAGGATTAGATGCAAAATATTCCTCTAGGCTTTTCCACCACCCCTATATAATTTCAGCTTCTCTCTAGCATACCCACATTGTCTTGGGTGGGTTTTTCTGTTTCCTGTGAGTTTCTTTTCTTCCTAGCACCATATGCCTGATCTCAAAGGGCACTGGCTTTAAAAGAAAAAGTTATGACTCTTTAAGTTCTACTGTTACTGTGGCCATGGCTATTGTGGATATCATATAGCTGTTGTTCCATATTAACTGACCTAATGTAAAAAGATTTGCAATGCATGTAATAATATATGTACCCTTACTACTGAAGTTGCTTTGAACCAGTTAATTGAGAAATTTTCAGAGTAAAGGCAATTCAAATTTTATAACTTTGAAACCCAAATTTATGTTGTGTTTTTAAGAACTGCAAAGAAAACCCAGCTTTATCATAATTTACTGTTATTTCTCTTCTACACAGGCCTGACAAGACCATCACTATGACTGATGGAGACTATGATTATCTGATCAAACTCCTGGCCCTTGGAGATTCAGGGGTGGGGAAGACGACATTTCTTTATCGATACACAGACAATAAATTCAATCCCAAGTTCATCACAACAGTAGGAATAGACTTTCGGGAAAAACGTGTGGTGAGTTCTTAATCATACTGTTAAATTTGTTGCTGATCTCCCCACCCACATAAAATAAGAATTAAGAAGCTCTATTTATTGTGTTGCAAGGTGTCTGTCTTTTATCACATGAAATAACTAACTTGTCACTTTATAATATTTTTTTAACTTTCTCAGCTATAAATAATATTTTGCCTAGAAAAATGTTGAGTGACACTATCGCTTGTCTCCAAAAGTATACAGGGCAACTAAGATAAATAATTTATGGGTTTATATAGCATGTTTTCTGTGAATTCTTAAGGAATCTTTCAAAACTTGAATTATTCAGGGTCTAAAAACATTAACTCTTGATCTAAGTTTAGTTCCTCAATAAGAACAAGTGTTCATTTCCCTACTCATAAGAAAGATGTTTAAAAGGATGATTGGCAAATAGCTGGAACATGAGCTCTGTAAATTCTTGCTGCATTTTTATTTATGTGTAGACTCAGCCATCAATCACTAGCTTATTACGAACAGAATGTGAGACCAATCCATGCTATTTATCCAAGATAAGGGAGTTTAAGTGAGAATCACAACCACTTCCTTCTCTTATGCTAGACGCTAATGACAGGAATAAGGATATTGTGACATGTGAGACGTGTAGCATAGGCACATAAGCCTAGCCAGATTTACTGCCACCCAAGGTATTTTTGATTGCCAAGATGGCTATGGCTTCCAGTTGATGTCACAAAATCTATTCATTCCTCAAGAACTGGGGGTGGGGGAGTAGAACAAAAGAAATGGCGGATGAGAAGTTAAATCATGGTTTTTTATAATATCCTGTGCCTTATCTGAAAGTCAATATATTGTCTTGTACTCTTAGCAAACTCACTTCCAGACCCTCTAGGGTTTTCCTGTGCCTTCTCCCCTCCCAAATGCCCCCCACTAATCGAAGTCCTTGCAAAGTGTTCCCTTTAAAATGTTTTCACTAAGCCATACTTAGGGGAACTGATTAAATATTAAAGTTGTTATGCTTTGCTGAATAAGAAGTCAAAAGATCATACTTTAAAAAATTTAAATTTTCTGAAATAACATTAGAAGAAATGGCCAGTAAAGGAATACTTGAAATACTGTAAACTTATTGAGAATTCTGTGCATATTTCATGGCTAAGTCATTCTGAAAGTCCAATTCATATTAAAAGATAGTCAGGTATTTGTAAATTATTTTACAGTTTTAAAAATGCCTTCACATTTGTTATTTCATTTAAGTTTGCAGGAACTCTGTAAAATAAGAAGAGATTATTGGTCTCAATTTGCAGATAAAAAAGTATGATTACGAGAGGTTAAATGAAGGGTTGATATTTGAACCTAGAACTTGGGTCCTAAATCTAATGTTTGCTGCCTGTGTGAGGAAATGACAGAAGGTGTCTAATTTAAGTTTGCAGTATGCCTAAATTGTGTTGAAAATCATACTCGTACTTGACATTTAAAAGTGAGAGTATATGTGATACTTCTGGGAAAAAACAGAGCAAATATTTATCCTGCACTATGAACTTTGATTATAGTAATTGAGAAAAAACATACTGAGTGAACCCAGAGAATCTGAATGCTGACGAAATCCAAAGCAGTATCAACTGATGAAAATTGTGTCTTTCAGGTTTATAATACACAGGGGCCAAATGGATCATCAGGGAAAGCATTTAAGGTGCATCTTCAGCTTTGGGACACTGCAGGACAAGAGCGGTAATACTAAATTACTTTGATTCTGGCAACAAATAGCTTAGAAAAACTCATTTTAAAGTGAATGCTGTATGTGAACTCGAAAACCAAATGATATGCAACTCTTCTTGTTTCAAAATAGACATTTGTATTGACAAATAAAAATAAAGTGTTTGTAGTTAATTACCCATAATTAGCATTGTGGATTTGGTTCAGCTTTCAAAAATTAAATTTCCAAAAATCTCTGTGAAGATTCTTGTTGCATGTTGTCTTTGTACTTTGTAATAGGAAAAAGAAATCTTCTCCAGAATTAAAGTGATTTAAGGTGGGAAATTAACACCGTGATGAGTGCTACTCGAAGAGGGAGCTGAAGGAAAGCGTGTTGTTTCTCTCCTCTCTCTTCATCCTTGTGCACAGCCTTTCTGTCCCGTGCTTTGTTCTCTAAGATTTTCGTCTCGCCACTGCACTCCTGCGAGAATGTTCTACTTCCGCCTCACTCTCCCTGATCCTCTTCTTCCACCAGGCCTGGCTCATGTTCCACCTCCTCCGTGGGGCCCTCCTGAACACGCCAACTGAAACAAACCTCCTCTTTCTTCTGGACTCCTAGAACACACATTCTACCATACCTTAAGTTAATTAATTATATCCCACCTCGTAATAAGGCAAATGTTTTATTTTTGCCTCTAACCGATGTTCTTTGATTCACTTGTGGCCTTCTCACCCCAACAAAATTATCAGCTCTATAAGGGCAGAGACCATGCTTGGTTTTCAGCATCATCTCTGATACAATGCCCAAGACAAGAGATACTCAGTAGACGGCAGTGTTGACTGGTTCGAGCTGGAGGTGCTATTCCATTATTTGATGAAAATATATTTCTTGGAGATACAAGTTTTCAAAACACTAAAGACCTCAAGTTTGTGAAGCTTTTCAGTATTAGATTAAATAAAAATTGGCAATAGATTGTCAGAGAAGATATTTAGAAGGCACATACCTCCAAATTCTGCATTGCATGTCTTAGAATGTTTATGCTTGTAAACACTTCAGTTTTTGAAATGCGTCCAAAATGTTCTCGCTTTCACTGAGTGTAAATGCCAGAGGAGGTGCCGGGCCCTCTTTGTTAGCTTTTTTGACTGTGAATTCCATTTACACACATCCTTCAACACTGCTGGTTCTTCTGAAGTCATTCCTCACAAGAATCTCTGTTCATATGTCAGTTTTGTTGTCACAAAGATGTATGTTTTATAGACCAATTTAATTCCTATTTGAAGAAGTAATATGAGAAAATGTGGTTCCCATATGTCTTCGCACATGATATGTCAGCCTAGCATGATGACAGGCTTCTCTCGTCTGTCCTCTTTAGACAGCTGCTCTATGAGGGAAATGGGGAATACTAGGGACAGTCTTGGTAACACTGGGGTTATTCATCCCTTGAGAATTTTCCATTCCGTAAGTATAAAGTGTAGCTAAGCAACAAGATAAACAATGCCTCGCACCTCAACCCTGTGTGAGGACATCTGGCAGCTTAACTCATTTAAGATAATGGTTATTGATAAAAATGATATTATGGGAAGGATAAAAAATAATACCCCTATGTAAGCCTAAAGGATACAGGGTCCAGCCTTAGTTCCCAGTGAGGGAGAAAGAGAGATAGTATGACCCTGGGATCTGTTTTGTTTTGTTTTGTTTTGTTTTGTTTTGTTTTGTTTTGTTTTGTTTTTAATGGGGTCCTAGCTTTTTCCATCCTGGAGGACAGAATGAGGTCAATGGATGAAGCTGGAAACCAATTACCTTCCCTCTGGAGTAAATCCTGGGAAGAATGGGAATTACAAGGGTCCCAGGCAGAACGGTCCAGGGATTGAGCCTGTCCAGAACAAGGGCAGCCCATCCATGTTGCTCTGGGTGCAAAAGTGTTTGCCCCCATGCGATCCTTATGACAAGTACGTTGTTAAGTAACTTTGTCATGTGCTGTAGGGGGATAAGGCACAGTCTTGTCCTCACATGAGACACATACACACAGACACACACACAGAGACACACACACACAGATGCACACACACACACACTCTTAGGAAGGGGACAGAGAACTGGCTATTTTGGTTGAGCCAGCCACACTATTGTGGTTGAGTAGGAGACAATTTTATGAGTACAGCTAGTCCACAAAGAGAGAGAACCATTCAGTAAAAGCACTATAATCTATGAGCTTCTCACAGACTGGTAGAAACAAATCACAAGACAAAAATTGAATATATTGCATAATCATCATGATTATGTCCTACCAAAGAAATCCTAATTTAGAAATAAATGGTTTTTAGAATATCTCTTCTCCCTGCTTTAGTATTAAAAGTATTCTCTTCTATTTAAATCATTTAAATATTTAATAATTTTATATTCTTTGCTCTTCTCTTTATTTCTTTCTTTTAGTTTGACAAACATTTAATGAGTAAATACTATATCCCAGGCCATGGCAGTATAATGCATAACATTAAAAACATAGCTGCTTTCATCTTAGAACTTATAGTCTATGATGGAATTTGGACAAATAACAAACAATTTTAATATTGCCTTGGAATAGTAACAGGAAAACAGAGGGTGATAGGCAGGTGTACCAGAAGGAGCCCATAACCCAGATGTGTGTGTTGGGAAGGTTGCTTAGGGGAGTGGTATTTTCTCTGATACTGTTCTGCATATACTCATACACAATGTATGAGTGAGTCTATTTCAGGTTAAAAGGGTAGGAGGTGACAAAAGCATTAAGACAAGGTTACCCACAGAAAGAACAGCATGTGTGAAAGCCCAGGGGAGAGAGTGAACTTTCTAAGAACTAAAAGAAGACCAGTACACCTGTGGGCAGTCCCAAGATGAGTCTAGATAGATGAGGAAAGGTCAGTTCATGCAGAGCCTGACAGTTTGTTAAAGAGATGAGTCATTAACTTAAGAGCGATGCATCGACATGAAAATGTTTTTAGCAGATTTGTACAATCAGTGGGAAGAAAGCAGGGAAGGGCAGGGTCCCAAACACAACTGGAGACAGGAAGCCTATTGAGAAGGCTGCTGAAATCATTATCCAGGCAAAAGATCGTGGGTTGGAAACCAGAGTAGCGGCAGGTCAGGAGATATTTGTTGATTGTATGCAGCAGGTGAAGGAGAAACAGGGTGTGGCATCCAGGAGGATGGTGATTCCATTGACAGAAAAAGAAATCAGCCAGTTTGTTTTTAGATATGTAAAGTTGGAAGTACCTTAGTTTCCTCCAAGTGGAAATATCCAACAAGTAAGTGGCCACACAGTGTGAAGGCAGGAAAGATGCAGACCTGTAAATTTGGGGTTCAACATATTGGTGATAATTGAGCCAGGGAAGTGGACAAGATTACCCAGTGAATGTTTGTAGAGGGAGACATGATCCCTTCTAATAGAGGAAACTAAAGAACCTACAAATAGGCTTAAATAGGAGACCAAAATGAAGACATTTAGGATAGGAAGTAATGTCCTTCAAATGCACTGCTTCATCAGTATAACCCAACCTTCCAGGGTCCTTATGTGTGGTCTCCGGTTTTGCACATTTCTGACCTTGAGTGTTCTTGTTTTTTCTCCCCAACTATTAAGTGTCTCTGACCTTCCCTCGATCCCCCTAATTATCTTCCTCTTCTTCCTTTCTTCAGTGTTTTCCCTCTTCCTCAGGAGACATGAATGTCACCCATTATAGTATAGCCACTCTTTACTTTAGCACCCCAAAGAGTACTTATAAAAAAGTTTTCTCAACAACGTTATTTTCCTCTGCAAAAGAATCCTCATTCCAGCGACTGACAAGTTGCGGTTTTCTGCATGTCATCATGAGCATTCATTTTCAGGCTAGCATGTGCCAAACCTTCTTCTGGGCACAGACAAGGAAGATTGAAAAGTATGAGTTAAAGTCCCAATTCTAAAGTGGCTTACACTTCAATCGTGGGACACAGGATGCCCATGAGCCAACAAGAGAAAGAGTCCAAGGAGCTGTGTAAGCAAGTGTGTGATCAAATGGTACAAACTCTGTGCATTAAGTGCTGTGGAAAATAAAGCCAAGATGTGGTCTTAAAAAGAATTTACAAGCAGATGTCCTCCCCTGGCCCTTCAGTAGTCTTTCTGCCCAATCCTAATTTAGAAATAAATGGTTTATTTCTGTAGGCTAGTCTGTAAGGGATGCGATGGAGATTTCGTATTTAAGAGAAATAGTATCGTTTGTACTGTCACCAGGATGTATGTGTGGACTAACTTTCAGCTCTATCCACTGTGCTTTCTTGGCAGATTCCGAAGCCTCACCACGGCATTCTTCAGAGACGCCATGGGTTTCTTATTAATGTTCGACCTCACCAGTCAACAGAGCTTCTTAAATGTCAGAAACTGGATGAGTAAGTGAGACCAAGTAACTTGTGTTGGCCACTTTGGGAACTGTCAGCTATATTTGCTTGTCTGCCTCACAAAACAAAACCAGACCGGGTACTGCAGATTCACCCTGGGGAGTCATGAGTTTAGTGTTTTCTGTGTCACCTTCAAAGTGGTATATATCACCCAAGGTGGCTGGAAATTATATTTCCCTTTGACACTCTTTGAAAAAGCCTATGTGGCTTTTTAACCATCTACATTTAAAGTCTTCATTACTGTGATTGAAAGGCCATTAACTACACTTGTCCAGTTAATCTGAAAGGGTTTTTTAGAACTATGTGAGATTCTACATCTACTACCTCTAACCCAGAGAGGACAGAGAAAAACAGCAGCGTTTTCTGAGAGGGTACATTGTACCTGAAATGCATGCCCTCGCATGTAGCTTACCTAACGGGTTAATTAACTAATGGGTGAATTAGATGAGAAACTTCTCCAGAGCAGACCAGCCACATGAAGATAAGGTACCATGTGTTAGCCAGCTCACACTGAAATTTTACTTTTTTTCAAAAAAATATTCAAATGTGAAGAAGCTGTGCATAGAAAACTCTATTCAATTTAGATACAATATGAAGTTAAAAGTACATAATCAGTTATTAAAGCCAGATTAATATATGTCAGCTCAGAAGAGCAGTATGTGATTTTTTCTTTACTTTTTAAATTGACATAGCACTAAAGAGAATATTTCATTTGCATTTTTTATTACTAATGTAAATTTTGATCGTAGAGGGATATTCATGTAATCCTATGTGGCTGGTGATAGTCTTGTCATTTCTAGGTTTGTCAGGGTTGTCTGTGGCCAGAGGGATATTTTTTAAAAATTGGATCATGTTATTCCCCTGCTCAAAGTCCTTCTTTCTGGGACCTCCCGTCTCACTTGGAATGAAACCCAGGGTCCTTCACCCACCTGTGAAGGAGGCCATGGTGACCAGGCCTTAAATTCCTCTCTGATTCACTCCTTACTCTGCCCCAGCTCAGGGGCCTCCTGCCAAAGTCTCTGCTGCTGTTCTGAGGAGGAGGACAAAAGGCACATTTCTGCCCGGGGGTCATGGTACTTTCACTTCCCTCTGCCTTGATTTTTCTTCTTACTTTTACAGTGTATGCAAATTATTTCATCTCCTTCGAGTTTTTATTCAAACCTTGTTTATCTCTTAGGAGAAGCCTTCACTGACCACACCATCTACAATAGTACTTTGTGTCCCTTTAATACATTATATATTAATACACACCTGACATTATTTTATATTATGGATTTCTTCGTTTACTTGTGATTTTGACCCTTTGCTACTAGAACACGAGCTCTGTGAACATGCAAACTTTGACTGCTTTGTTCCATTGCAAGAGCCCCAAAGCCTGGATGAATGTTTGGCTCAGTGTAGATGTTCAAAAAATATATATTTCCTATTTTTACATATTGTTTAAAACTAATAATTAATATATAACTGCTTTAAGTGTGAGTTCAATAACACAGTTCCTACCATAAGGGAAAATATCAACAAATTCTGACTTTCTTCATTGCTTCTCCAAATGAGTGTTTATCTTAGTATCTATTTTCTTGTATTATTTTATTTCTATACCCAAATTTCGATGTTATTATTAGATTCTGAGGAGATAAGATTATTAGATTTTTTTAGGAAATGATTTGTTCATCCTTTATTAAGGCAGATGAGACTCATTTTCTGAAAGATACTGTTGGGATGTAAAATTATTGTCATGTCTAATAACACTTTAATTTTTAACACCCAGACAATCAGTATTATAGGGTAAGCCTTTGTCTTCTTCCTTGGCAAAGTTGCACACAGCATTCCTCGAGAGAGATGTTAGAGTAATGCCTGTAACCTCAAAAACACTGATTGACAGATTTTTACCATTTCCTCCCTCCCTCCCTTCTTTCCTTCCTTCCTTCTTTCCTACCTTTCTTCCCTCTCTTTCTCACAGTGTTTCCTGGAGAAAAGAGAAAAACGAGTTACCTATCTTAAAATTGTTTCTACATAAATTTGTGGTGGGTCAAAAATACTCTTTTATAGATCATCACCTTGGACTTCAAGGGGATGGAAATGTAGCAGCCTCCTAAAGAGAAGGCCAAACTTATACCCTTCAAAATCATGTTCTACCATCTCCACTTATGTTTGAGGAATAAGTGTCATGAAGCAATATGTCTTTCTTGGAAGGCGCTTCCCCAGATGGAGGAGAGCACTGATAGGTGTTCACACAGGTGCTTCTTGTAAATTATTACTAATCTTTATACTGCGATCCGTGAGACATTTTCTCCATTTTACAGATGAGGAAACTGCAGCTGGGAAGAGCTAAATAACTTGGCTACTGTAACGCAGCTAGTAAGCAGCCAAGCTGGAGATGAACAGTTAGGGGAGGAATCTGATATGAGCAGTCATTTGACATCACTTGTTTATAACTAACTTGCTCATTCCATCTGCTTTCTTTCCAAGGCCAACTACAAGCAAATGCTTATTGTGAAAATCCAGATATAGTATTAATCGGCAATAAGGCAGACCTGCCAGACCAGAGGGAAGTCAATGAACGGCAAGCCCGAGAATTGGCAGACAAATACGGGTAAGTTACGTGGAGACGTCCTGTGACCCTGCACGCTGCTGCTTAGTAATGGCACAGGGACACAAGGTTGATACTAGGAGGAATCTCCTTGAATCAAGAACAGCACATGAATGAAAAGATCTTCCAGAGAATGTGTGTGATGTTTTGAACCAATTACTTAGTAATGATGACAGCTAACATTTACTGAATATTTATTATGTGCTAGCAACTGCTCCTAGACTTTAACTCATTTAAGCCCTCATAAGCATCTGTAGAATGTCTAGAGTTATCCCATTTTATATATGAAGAATTGAGGCATAGAGAGATTAATAACAGATGGAAGGCCATATAGCTGGAAAGTGGCAGAGCTTGAATTCAACCTAGGCAGTCTGAGATCAGAGCTCACACTATATTGTCTCTCAATTAATAGCTGCAAAACTCTAAAAAATAATAAGTGATGTGGACATAACATTGCAATCCTTATCCTAGGTAACTTAAATAGTGGATTGACAAAAATTGGGAATACCGATTACAATTATAAATTGACCTCCAAGGCAGACTTTGTTATTATTTTTTTAATTTAAAGCAGTTTCATCACACCTGACAATTTTTACTGAAGTATTCTCCTTGTGTTCTTGAAACTTTTGATTCCAAAAAATATATTGTATTCACATGACTATTCTAGTCAGATTTCTAGAGAATTGATCGGAAGTGAAATAATATTGATCACTAGTTAGGGCATTTTTATCCTCTTAATTTTCTTTTTAAACAGTGATAATGCCTTGGCTTCAAACACCTGAGTACTTCTTGTATCAGTTTTCTTGACTATAGTATGGTTATACTTACACTAGTGAGCAGCCCACCGATTTTTACTTACCGAGAAAAAACAAGGATGCTTTCCAACTTGGCCAGCAAAATCATGATCATTTCACAATTGCTCAGCCAGCCATGTTGTTGCATGTGTGATTCATTTGTACATCTTGCTTGTATCTTTTCTGATTTCTTCCTCTCAAAAATATTTGTCATCTCTTCTATGCAAGTATACTATATTTTGAAACAAGTGCAGCGACTGGCCAGAATGTGGAGAAAGCTGTAGAAACCCTTCTGGACTTGATAATGAAACGAATGGAACAGTGTGTAGAGAAGACACAAGTCCTCGACACTGTCAACGGTGGAAACTCTGGAAAGCTAGATGGGGAAAAACCAGCAGAGAAGAAATGTGCCTGCTAGATTCTACATAGAACTCATCATCAAGAGCCCCACCCAAATATTACTTCCAAAAACAACGACAAACCACCAAATCGTTGTTGAGTAGACTGTGCATAATTGCATGTCTTTCTTTTTCTGACAGAAAATCAATTTTAAGAAACCAGAATAGTCAACAGTGTTCAAATGAATTGACAGGTTGTTTCTGAGGCCCCTTCAAACAAGATCAAAGATTTTCTAATATGATCTCACCATCATGGATGTCCAATTTGTTTTTCTTAGAAATAAGATGAGTATATAAGAGAGTATACAAAGTGAAATATCAGTGAGTTTAAGTCAGAACAAAAATTACTGTGTCAAATTGGAGAAAGGGATAGGCTACCAATGAAAGAGTATAAAAAGATGATTTAAAAAAAAAAAAAGATTGGGTTTACTCCATATCTGATTTGTACTTTTAGGTTTGCATTGGGGAAACATATTAGCTAAAACTGGATACACAATAAAGAATTCTTAATGGATCAATAAGAATGGCATTACTACATATACCCAATAAACTGCACAAGAATGACTAAATTAGTGATAAAGTTATAAAAGGATGAATGTCAGACTTCTGCTAAAATGTAGGAGATTGTGTAATAATGCCATTTTTATATTCTTAATTAATGGCAGATAGACAAGAACAAGATTGTGAGTGACAAAGTATAAGAGAAATGCCCTGGGAGAAAAATGAAAGTATGGGAACATAGCAGTTGGACAAATGAAATTAAACGTATCTGTTACAGATGTCTGGAAGAGTTACTTAGCCAACTTTCACTCAAGCCAATTAGAAGTTGACGTTATCAGTTGGGATTAAGAGAATCTTTAGAGGTTTTCATTTCAAAGAAATTTCTAAAAAATCAGTTCAGTGTTCAGCTTCACATTTCATTTTTCTTAGCAAATGGTGATAGACACAAAGATTACTATTTATTAAATATCTTTTAAAATTCAGTCAAGAAAAACTATTTTGCCTTAATTTTTTTTCGATAAAATATACTAGCGATATGAAACAAAAGTGACTATCGATTGTGGGTTTCCTTTTAATTTACAAAAGCACTAAATTAATTAATTTCTTCTCTCCAAACCACATCCACCCCTGGCTTTGAATCCATTGTAAAAACACATGCGTGTCACTTTGTAGATCAACAACTTCAGAAAATAATGGATCAATTTTATGGGCACTCTGAATTTTCATGTCATAAATCACATAAAAATTGATAACTCATATTGTATTATAATGAATTTAACATTTTATTTTGCCTAAATCAAAATGCCCATGGTGGACCTATATTTGATGATTAACAGGAATGGAACTCTATCTTATCTCAGCAGAAATTTAGTTAATCACTTTTTTTTCACAAGAAGCTGCCTTTTCTTTGTAAAAATGATCACAAAACTATTTTCCATTGGCTTATTATTATTATGTCTAAACTAACATAAACAACTCCTATTAAACCATTATTTAAATATTTCAATGAATTTTATCAATAACAAAGTTCTCTCTTTTTATTATGATTATGATTTTTTGGCAATAACTCCTCTTATTATAAAATTTTGCCAATTAAATTTCATTTTTCCAACTCTGTGCATATTTCTTTTGCTAAGTTACAGATATTGGAAACCTTAAATTCCAGCTCTGCCCTTGACCTCTGCCTCTCAACCTCAGTCTGACATTTGAGTCAGTTTTAGAAACACAGATCCGAGGCACTGTTTATAATGTTCTGAGGGTAGACTAGACCCAGAAATGAACCAAAGCAATCTGGAAGCTCTGATGGGGTTAGCCCCATGTGAAATTCTCAGTGTTAACTGCCCAGTTCCTCTAACTTCTGCAGCAAGATGCCGCCTTCTAGGATGGATCATGCTTGGGTCTTCTTACAATGATGTTTTTCTCTACCATGCTCTTCATGATCCCAGTGCCTGTGCGGTGAGAATGGAAAGCTATTAGCTAAGATCAAAGATGTTTCTTCTGGAAGAAAAGTGTACAGAAACAATATAACTATTGCTGTAGTGAAGTTTGGTGAACTTTTGTGGTCCTTATGTCAACTTCTTATTTGGAGTCAAATTTTGATATCCCCTGCATTTCCATAATAGGAAATGTTCAGCCTTTTAAAATCCTAAAGGCATTCTATTTTGGATATGTCTTTGTGTTTCTATTTATTTTTTCAGTTATATGATTGATTTACTCATGCCAAGATTCTGTCATTGTCAGTTATTTCACAAGAATTTATTCAAGATCTATTTTAAGATTGTTATTTGATAGTCATAGCATGAAGCAGAGGGTGATGATGCCCATAATTATAGAACTATGCTTGTAAAAATAACAATTATTGGGTAATAATAATTGGAACAAAACTTAGAACATATAAGAAAATTAATTTAAAATAGTATTCTACTTATAAATAAACACATATATATATTCTCTGTCAAGTTTGACACTTGACCCCAAATTCTATGTAAACATTTATGGATATTCCTTCTCTCATTATTTCAGAATAATTATTCTGTACTATTTATTTTACAGTTTCAAATTGATCTGGGGCCATGAAGTATACAGACTGCTTTAAAGAATTGTATATCCCCTTTAACCCACAACAGCATATGTTTTTAGCCATAATATGTCCTGTTACTGCTTATCTACCAAATGCTCTAGTAAACCAATTTGTATTTTGGAGAAATATTTAAAGTGTACATGAAATTCCTTTTCGATCTAGAAACCATTTCTGGAATGTTTACACTGCTTCAATGTTTACATTGCTTTAACACAGTGCCTCAGGTAACTTTGTGACCAAATTTGTCTCTAACCATACGGCTCATTTCCTGTAACACCCTACGTAGAAAGGTCTCACAGAGACACTAACACAGCTAAAGGAAGGTCTTTGATGTATGTCTTCAGCAAAGATTACAAAGATGCCATTGGAATCTGGAGATTACTGCCACCATGTCCCAAGCTCCTGGCTCACTTGAAGTAAGTGTTACTTGAGACTCTTAACTGTGATTAGTAACAAGTTTATCTTTTGATGGAAAAAAAAGGAAAATGCTGTGAAAAATATAAAAATCATTGAGAGAACACAATGTTTATCTTGGTATGACAAAGGAGACAAGTCACGAATAGGCAGAGAAAATGTTAAATGCTGGGGGCAGAGCTTGTAGGTCTCTACGCAAGAGTTAAAATTCTTGCAAGTTCCCCCTTGAGCCAATTTGCTATCATTTCCATATTATCAGCTATCACACTGCAAAAAATTCAAAACCAGCATTTTCTAAAGTAAATATTTTATTTGTTGCTTTTAACCAGCTGGGCTACTCTGTGAATTAGTGGGTGTCTTTGTTATGCTTCTGGTGTAAGTTATTCTCTGCCAATCTGTACAGGTTGGATGAACTGTGCAAAAGTTCTTTGTTGTCTCCTTTATAAAAGAAGCTTGACCACAGAGAAAGACATGACTACATTAATAAAACAATTTAAAAACAGCCAAAATATTTTTTAAACTGCAAATCGAGTCCACTGGAAATCAACAAATTTGATGAAGCTTATATATATTCTCATCAATGGAGTGAGTGCAGCAGTTAGAAAGAGAAATAATATGTGTAATGGATGAAGTCTACAGCTACATATAGTATATAACCTGGAAGCTTGTGTCCATGAAACAAGATTGTTCACTGCTTTGTACCTCTGTTCACCTGAAAAAAAGGGGGGTACATATGCTTTCTTCATTGGGTATCACACTAAAACCTTGAGGGAAAATCCTCATCAAACTTTAAAGAAATAATATTAAAGTTTCTGTTTCCTAAATACTAAATAGCTTTAAAAGAAAGTTCTAGAGCTCATGTTAACCAAAGCGATTTTTTAAAAGTTGTCTTTCATCCTCTACTACCAAGCTTTAAAAGATTAAGAGAAGTCTGGAGTATTTAAATATTTTAGGGAAAGCTTTATCATTTTTTAAAGATGCCAAGATGCTGTCTATATTTAAAAGGTTGTCTAAAAATTCACCAAAAGCTATATTTTTTCTTGATCTTTGACCAAGATGATATAAACTTATTTCTGGGGATAGCACTAGACTCTTAAACATGGAAGATAGATACAGAATATTATCTGAGATAAATGTCTCAGTGCTTTAAAACATTTTTGAAAATACTCGTCTTATAAAGTAACACTGATAAAAAATCATCGTTAGATATATAGGGAATTTGATAAACTTATTGCCTTAGAATTTTGGGGTGGAGGCCCAACTACAATGAATGATTGTTGAGCAAGAGCTATAAAGAGAGTTGAGTTAAAAATTGTCTAAATAGACTTCTTAAAAATGGCAGAACATGCAGACAGTCATACTCACACTTACAAGGTTGATTTTTAGGTACGAAAAAAAGAGTAACAGAAAGCGTTTTCGTAGCTATGTCCATGGCAAATATTTATCCATCATTTTTATCTATCAAGTAGAAGATTATGTCCTTGGAATTAAGTTACTAAAAATATTTAAACACAAAATATTTCATTATTGGCATAAAAATTTGGGAACCTTAGAAACATTCTGTTTATCTAAATATAATTGACTCATAATTGGAGCAGCATCACAAAGACACTTTTCTGCCCAGCTCTTGTTAATAACGGCCTATGGTTGAGAGATTTTCTAAGTTCATACATAGAACAAACAACACACAAAAACATTGCCAAAATAGTAGAATTATTTTACAGGGTCTCATCTTTTGAAAAAAAAAAATACAAATGAATAATCTTTGTATTGAGTCGTTTACATGTTTTCCAGTTCCTTCTCTTTCCAAGAGGTTGTGGAAATCATGGTTAATATCACTCAGCAGACATGGTCTTTAAGGATCTTTAGCAAATTACATAGGAGCTGGCACATTTGTCTTTAACCTAACAGATCCTTTATTTAACTAGTCTTATCTTTACATCTGTTGGCACATCAAAATAGTGTCCTTAGTAATAAGTAATAACCTACGCTTATCCTTAATCTTCTATTCTCCAGGTTTTTTTTTTTTCAAATACTCTGAAAGTAAGCCTAGTATTATAGAAAGGAAACTGTCCAGAACAAGTTGAGACCCACGAGTATGTTATTAAATATCTCAGTGGCTTCTTCTCATATGAGACATAAATCCTGTGTGCCTCACAGAGTTCAAGTCAGGATCAAAGGAGAACATATGTAAGAAATTGGTTTGTAAGTTAGGCTCTATTTCATAAACAGGCACTATTATCACAAGCTAAGAACAGATAATAAGTCACAGTCATAATTTAAGCCACTTGTGAAAAGAAGTGTCGTAGCAGGAACATAACTCATTTTAGTAGATGTATTGGAAGCTACCAATAATGTATTGGAAGCTACCAACTTGAGATCATTGTATTTGATTGAAAATGTTTAATATAGCTCAAGTTATTGAAAAAATTGAGTTCTATTTCATTTTCTATGTCATCTTGTCTTTCTTTCAAGGAGTTCAATTATATTCTAGATAGTATATTAC